GGGGGGGGGTTAGTGGAGTCATAAATCAGTCTCATGGAGGGAGCTGACAGGAGGAGTAATACAGAGAAAGAACCCACTTGAGGTCCCATTTCATTCTTGCTTTGAGGTAGAGTAATCCCATACAATATTGGTGAAACTTTGTGACGTATACATAATTAAAAAGGAAGAAGTATCGTAATTTGACCACATTCAAACATTTCTTAAAGTTGAATAGCTCTCATCATGTTTGCAGGGACCTGACATAGTAGTGTGGCCGGCAATAGTAATACAAATGGGTCACATTCAGCTCCACAATGTCTTTTTAGCAGTCACATCAAAGCCCCTGCATCCCCCCGCAAAAAAAGATTGTCCTCCTCAAACGGCCAGCGAAACTTAAAATATGTCATATGCCTCTAACTAGTTTTACCCCGACAGCATTTAGTCCTCGTTCCCATGACCTTTGTCATCTCCGACTCTCAGGCGCCAAACATCTCCCAAGGGTTCAAAAAGTCTTTTGCATGTTTTTAATTACATCGGCCGGCTTGGAATTTTCCTCATGCGTTTTTAAGATTTAAGTGCATCATTTAAATTGTCATTATTATTCGTATGAATAATTTGCTATAGAAATAAAACATAATCCTGAAGTCTGAGCTATGATATGTGACTTTGTAGATGCTCAATGAAAATCAACAATATAAATTGATTTACATGAAAGCAGCAGGCAAAACGCAGAGGAATGGGAACATTACGAGCGGCTGGATATAACATCGAAAGCTCACCATGAGGAGCTGGAACGATCATGAATCTCTCATTTTCTCACGCACGCACGCACGCACGCACGCACGCATGCACATACACATACAGACGGCTGCTCAGGTGTTTCCTATGGCCTCCCTCGAGAAGCAGCCGTGTTCCAACGGCACATATTAATTATCCCAGAGAACAGAGTGCATTGTCATGTGTGGGATGCGGTGCTAATGAAAGGCTGCAAAACATGACACCCGTTGTTAGACTGATGACAAAGATGCTTGTTTACTCTATTATGAGCCCTTTACAGGGGAAATCGATGAATTTTGCAGTGTTTTATCTTGTTCATCCCGAAAGACCAGTTAAGTCTGTCTCAATCTACTTTATTTTTTTTTTTCAGTGCATTATGATAAGCACTAATTTAGGTGCTCCTCGGGACAAAGACATATGAAACCAGGCCCGAAACCAAGAAGCGGCATGAAAAATTGATGTACATGGCTAACTGTGCATGTTGTGAAACTACCTGACACAGGAAGGCGCAGGTCTAGACACAAGCTTTGCCCCCCCTACGGGACACACAGAGCCCACTTAATACAAAGCAAGGGTGCATGCTCAGGTCAGTCAAATGCACATGTTGCAGTCAATCAATACTTCATCAGATAGCACCTTTCATACTTGGAAAAAGCAACACAAAGAGCAAAACAGAACAGGTACGGAAAGACAACACAAGCCTGCCACACCCCCGCAGTCTACGAGACCCACTTCCCATCCTATACACACACCAGAGCTAGCTGTTTTTTCCAAATGTCCCTGCTTTCCAAAACGGTGCAATAATTCATCACTCAAATTGAGAACGCTCGCTTCCTCGTCTTGAGTAGCTTGAACACGACAGTATGTTGACCTATGACGCCCTCTACTGGTAGGATGAGAAAGTGTGACCAAAAAATAGATGGACGATGCTTTGGATTTTTTTTTCCAAAATCTATTTGAGAGGCAAGGAAAAATTCAGAAAATTATTATTTTTTTAATTTTCTTAAATGCCATGAATGCTTATTCTCATGCTTTGCATGATGAAGCTTCTGTCGATTAGTAAATTGCCGGAGAAAATGGTTTTGTACACCTCAGAAATCAATATTATTCAATAATTGTCTTCCCTACTTTTTGTAATGTTTTGTCTGTTAGGTAAATGGCGTGAACATCGAGGGCATGCGGCACTCCGAGGTGGTGGCCTTCATTAAGAAAGGAGGGAATGAGACCTGGCTGCTGGTTGTGGATCCGGACACGGACGAATACTTTAAGATGAAGGGCGTCATCCCCACTGTCAGCCATGTGAAAGGTAAAATGTCACCACTTGGCTCAAAAATATTTGCGCAATCTGCAAAAGTTTATCGTCAAACTAAACATAAAACAAAGAGAATTGCCCATTGTGTCCTTAAAACAACTGACAGGCACACTGAATTGGATTGCGGCATTAAATCATGACCCACACAGTTCCATTCTCTTAAATTACTACGCTACGTTTTAGGGTTGTTTCGGGCAAAGGCTGGAACGGATTTATGGCATTTCCATTCATTTCAGTGGGGAAATGTGATCTGAGATAAAAATGCTTCGATATAGCATGAGGGAAAAAAAACAGTTTTGTGGACTGGCTTCAAGGAAGTGTTCAAGTATGCATTCTGATTGTTGTCATAGATTACGATGGTCCCTCGATCTCCAACGGATCTCACAGCCCTCTCATGAACGGCAGCTCCACGTCACATTCCATCAGGTCAACGACCTTCAATCACAGGAGCCACGGCAACGGCACACAGGTGGGTGCGCTTATTGGTCACTCCCACCGGCATTGTCGTAACCTCCAACTTTCGCATTGTGTGTCCGCTCTAGCTGGCGACCAACGAGCGAAGTCGATTTTCGGACCCGTTCGCCGAAATCGGCCTGAGCGCCACGGCGGCCGAGGAAAAGCGGAAGCTCCACGCCAAAGAGAAGAGGCGGGCCCCGCAGATGGACTGGATGAAGAAATACGAGCTCTTCAGCAATTTCTAAGGAGACGCTTCCAACAGGAGAGGAGGATTTGAATGGATTTTAAAGAGCAACTCCTGATATTTTAGGATCACTCTTCGACTCTGGCGGACATATTTTTGTAGTAAAGTATATCAAGTGTTATACAAGCTTGATCATGGCAATGTGGAGTTGCCATATGGTCACTGTGACATCAATGATTGTGGCCCAGAAGATCACTGTGAGATGGGGACGCCATCCTCCTCAAGGAAACTAGCTGAATGTGTGCAGCAGAGGGCAGACCGGCCCCACAAATACAACATGACCTTATATGACTTTTTTTTTTTTTTTTTGGTGTCATTCTTAATTTGTTCTAGACAAGAAATGATTAAGGTTATGTATTCTGGGTGCATTTACTCCCAAAAGTGGTTTAATGTGAAAAACACATCAACGTGGTAGAGATTAGATGAGCAATGGAAAGTGTATTTTACTTTCTTTGACAATGGCGACCTGCATTGAAGAGACAGTATTATAATAAAATTATATTTTTAAAGTTGGGACTATCAAATGAAGCATAGACCGAACACAAGTACTTACTCCTCATGAGCAAATGAACTCAATGTGTAATGTGATGCCAAGTTACCTACAATCATGATGATATCACGATACAGCTAATGCATGACAATCAATAAGCAACTTCATTGATTTTCTTCTGAAAATAGCTTACCAAGGATGGGACATTGTGATGTCCTCGCAATGTTTTCGAAGTGATCATTTGAAAATGTAAACTCTTGCCGACCTTTATAGAAATAAAGTGCTGCAAACTAGTATTTATCTGTTTCCTAATCATTGTGAGAAATCATGAACGTGTATCAATGAGTATTGTTTATTATTCATGTTCATTTGAGCAAATGTGTTATTTCAGACGCTTTGCGTACCCAAGAAGTAGAAGGTTGATGACCCCTGATGAGACAAAATTTATCATAGTTTTGAAGTACAAGTACATTTTGGTGAACTGAGTCTGCCAGCGAAGTGAACAAAGGGGAGATTGTGAACGAATGGCGTCATAAATGCTGTGAGGCATTCGAAACTCAGACAGTCCGAGCTCAGCGACGCTTCGCGCCGGGGAAGAAACTTGTGAGGATTTTTAGGAAGGATTATTCCCTGCACACAAAACAGCAGCTGTCATGCACATGCCGGTGGGTGTCATTTAATGTGTTGATATACAGTAACTGTTGTGTTTGGAATGGATCCGCAGGTTGAAAAAATGTCATTCGTGTGGACAATGTACATGTTTTTTTTGTTGTTTTTTTTTTAAACTGATCCAAAGCCACCCACTTCGGATGGTTCAGTAAGACTTTGCTCTCTCAACGCTTCAATAACAAGCAAACGCTGCTGCAAAAGCTGACATGTGCACTTCACGCGGTTGCATTTTCAATACAAAGTTTTTCTTATATCACATTCAAGACTCCCCCCCCCCCCGCCCCCCCGGAATGTTTTTTGTCGTCAGTCCTCGAACTCTGTGTCGCTCCAGATGAGGATTACGGCGGTATACGGTTTCATCCTGTTCTCTCAGAATTCTCCAGCTGCTCAGGCCACACAAAGGTCAAAGATGTGTGTCAATGCATGTGTACGTCCATTGTCTGCCTTGCACGACGCAAGTTTTGTTGTACAGAGTTGTCATTGTCCTGCGCTGACAGATTTGGGGAGAAAATTCCAAATACTCTTTCGTCGTGCTGCACTTGAAATTTCAAATGTGCTGTAAATGTAACCAAAATTACAATGATTCACAACAGCCAGGAAATACATTTGGCATATGGGTGAAACTTCATTTTAGATATTGTGCACCAATATAAGCGTGACAAAGTCAAAGCCTGATCTGATGCGATGTGACAGACGAATAAATAGATTCAAACGTAAAATGGGATTTTCCGGCCAAATGCACAATCTGGATTTGATCGAGATGAAACTTGGTTCGGCTTTGCAGCTTCAGAGCCTGCATACACATTACATTTTTTATTCACATTGCATCCCCCCCCCCACTCCCACCACAGAAATATCCGTCTCCTATAAGCTTATTACAAAAGATGAGGATTCTTTTTCAAATTTGTTTTGCTTGGCTGTTGTTCTAGTGAAATTTCAAACGATAACATTTACGAAATTAACAATGGGCCAAAACCACAAAATGTTTTTTTTTCCTGAAATGTATGCGCAAACATCGTCATACAATTTGTAATTTCAACAACGTTACCGTGATCATGTAGACCAATGTCCCTGTTTTCTGTTGTAAGTGAATCGAACGAATTGTGAAACATTCAAAACTGTGACCTCACTTGACACTGCATTTTTCCCAGTGTGACAGAAATCTGAAACATTTCTGAACGGTAGTGTGCCGTGAGATTTTCCTAATGTGCCTTGCTCCAAAGAGTTTGGAAACCACTGTTGTTTAAAATATTACTGGAAATTTTGAGGGAGGGGGGAAAAAAATGACTCAAACAAAACATAATTACTCCACTAGGTGGTGCATCATGATCATTTCGTTTCCAGGAAGTAGGCCGAACCACTACACAGTTGTGTGAGACATTGGGCACAGCTGGCGCCATACCTGACCTTTGTCAAACTGCTGTGGCGCACAGGCTCCGCGGAGGTGACGAGGTGGAACCGTGACGTTTGCAGACCTCCATTTAAATCGGGCTGCAATTTTCGAGCTGTAACAGCGTCAAGACAGAGGGAACACAAAAAAAAAAGAACCCCAGGTGGTCGCGCTTGGACTAGTGCCCAGGCAGGCATTTTGTACTCCGTACTGACGAAAGCTGATTGTCTTCATCAAAAGCACTTTTCATGTGTGTTTCTCTGGTTTTTTTGTAACAATCTCTTTCTCAGTAGAGGACCCCGGGGGCAGCATGCTTTTTTTTAATGCCGTGCTCGATTATAGTGTAATTGCATATCCACCCCAATAGGTGGCAGTGATGCTCTCATTTGATTTATTTTTTTAAATTTCATTAATAAAGTTATTCTTTGTTGAAAGTTGGTCTATATATTTCTTTTGTTTGCTTTAATGTTTATAAGGATACAATATTATGCAGAGGTGTATAATTCCTTCGACAAATGGGCACCGGGTAGCCCACGAGGGCAACATGAGTAGTCCGCGGGGCTGTTCTCAAAACAGTTCACGGTAATTAAACATGATGGGAATGTTTCAGGGAATGTTGTCGAAATGGTTGTTTTAAAAAAATGCGAAAACTGGCAGATTTTTTTTTTTATGTTGCATACACACCCACACCCACACCCACTCCCACGCCCACCCCCCCGCACACCCACACACACACACACACACACACACACACACACACACACACACACACACACACACACACAAAGAAAAGAAAAAAAAAACATTCCATGTGCCACCTTTTCAACTCTGAGCACCTGCCCCTCTTTGCACACCCCTGGATACTTCCTACCGCTGCTTCTCAGTAAGTGTGAGCCAAATAGTCCCACCCAAACACAGGGGCGCCACCCATTGAGCTGTGCCAGGGCTGCCCAGGATGCAGCGGTGCCCGCAAAAAAGGAGGCCGACAGGGAGGGGAGGGAAACCGAGAGCGAGCATCCCCATGGCAACTGTGTGTTTTTGTTAGCACACTCGTGAGTCAGACAAGCAGTGAGTCACAGTCAGGAGGAAACACACACACACACACACACACACACACACACACACACACACACACACACACACACACACACGCACACGCACGCGGCCACATTCATACTCCCACTTAGTCAAAGGGAAGCCAAATAAGGACAGCTGCAACAATGTGCATGGAAAGGCTAAACGTGAGGGCAGAAGGAACCGCTTGAAATTTATCATAGTTTTGAAGTACAAGTACATTTTGGTGAACTGAGTCTGCCAGCGAAGTGAACAAAGGGGAGATTGTGAACGAATGGCGTCATAAATGCTGTGAGGCATTCGAAACTCAGACAGTCCGAGCTCAGCGACGCTTCGCGCCGGGGAAGAAACTTGTGAGGATTTTTAGGAAGGATTATTCCCTGCACACAAAACAGCAGCTGTCATGCACATGCCGGTGGGTGTCATTTAATGTGTTGATATACAGTAACTGTTGTGTTTGGAATGGATCCGCAGGTTGAAAAAATGTCATTCGTGTGGACAATGTACATGTTTTTTTTGTTGTTTTTTTTTTAAACTGATCCAAAGCCACCCACTTCGGATGGTTCAGTAAGACTTTGCTCTCTCAACGCTTCAATAACAAGCAAACGCTGCTGCAAAAGCTGACATGTGCACTTCACGCGGTTGCATTTTCAATACAAAGTTTTTCTTATATCACATTCAAGACTCCCCCCCCCCGCCCCCCCGGAATGTTTTTTGTCGTCAGTCCTCGAACTCTGTGTCGCTCCAGATGAGGATTACGGCGGTATACGGTTTCATCCTGTTCTCTCAGAATTCTCCAGCTGCTCAGGCCACACAAAGGTCAAAGATGTGTGTCAATGCATGTGTACGTCCATTGTCTGCCTTGCACGACGCAAGTTTTGTTGTACAGAGTTGTCATTGTCCTGCGCTGACAGATTTGGGGAGAAAATTCCAAATACTCTTTCGTCGTGCTGCACTTGAAATTTCAAATGTGCTGTAAATGTAACCAAAATTACAATGATTCACAACAGCCAGGAAATACATTTGGGATATGGGTGAAACTTCATTTTAGATATTGTGCACCAATATAAGCGTGACAAAGTCAAAGCCTGATCTGATGCGATGTGACAGACGAATAAATAGATTCAAACGTAAAATGGGATTTTCCGGCCAAATGCACAATCTGGATTTGATCGAGATGAAACTTGGTTCGGCTTTGCAGCTTCAGAGCCTGCATACACATTACATTTTTTATTCACATTGCATCCCCCCCCCCACTCCCACCACAGAAATATCCGTCTCCTATAAGCTTATTACAAAAGATGAGGATTCTTTTTCAAATTTGTTTTGCTTGGCTGTTGTTCTAGTGAAATTTCAAACGATAACATTTACGAAATTAACAATGGGCCAAAACCACAAAATGTTTTTTTTTCCTGAAATGTATGCGCAAACATCGTCATACAATTTGTAATTTCAACAACGTTACCGTGATCATGTAGACCAATGTCCCTGTTTTCTGTTGTAAGTGAATCGAACGAATTGTGAAACATTCAAAACTGTGACCTCACTTGACACTGCATTTTTCCCAGTGTGACAGAAATCTGAAACATTTCTGAACGGTAGTGTGCCGTGAGATTTTCCTAATGTGCCTTGCTCCAAAGAGTTTGGAAACCACTGTTGTTTAAAATATTACTGGAAATTTTGAGGGAGGGGGGAAAAAAATGACTCAAACAAAACATAATTACTCCACTAGGTGGTGCATCATGATCATTTCGTTTCCAGGAAGTAGGCCGAACCACTACACAGTTGTGTGAGACATTGGGCACAGCTGGCGCCATACCTGACCTTTGTCAAACTGCTGTGGCGCACAGGCTCCGCGGAGGTGACGAGGTGGAACCGTGACGTTTGCAGACCTCCATTTAAATCGGGCTGCAATTTTCGAGCTGTAACAGCGTCAAGACAGAGGGAACACAAAAAAAAAAGAACCCCAGGTGGTCGCGCTTGGACTAGTGCCCAGGCAGGCATTTTGTACTCCGTACTGACGAAAGCTGATTGTCTTCATCAAAAGCACTTTTCATGTGT